CTTCACTATTGACCGATATGGATGGATCCTTCTCAAATTTGGGTAATTTATAAATAGCATGTACACATCAAAATAAGCTATCACAATCACGAAAAAAAAAGTTTGAAGAGATTATTTTTTGACGTAGAACTACGTCTTTGTCGACTATACTGGGGCGCAAATCAAAAAATATGTGTGGTAAAATAGTGTTCGGTTTTGAACGCTTGTAACTTTGTAATTTATAGTTGAATATAAAATCCAAGTACGCCAATCGATAGGATATTACATTACAAATATGCTGAAATAAATATTTTTTTCGATTTTCCTCAAAAAACATTTAAAAATGTACAAATGATTATTTTATCTCTGTTTTCATGAAATAAACGATTTTCCCTAACCCAGTCATCATAATCGAGTACCATTTGGTTGTACATCGTTCTGCTTGAACCTGAAAAGATATAAAACAGCGCTGCTGTCATGCCTCTGCTCATTACCGCTTCAGACGGCGTGGCACTTGGTCCTGCAGCAAGCAGGAACAAGTCAGCGGATTAAGGTGGATCATGGCGTGACCACCTATAACAATGAGGAAATAAGGAACTTGAAAAAGTTATACATGCAAAACACCCACCCAATAATCAAAAATGCATGACATACAATAATGAAGCTGGCAAATTTCCTCGATCCCATATTTTAAAATCAAGATTTTCACACCTGGAAAATGGTCAAGGCTCATGGGCTTACATGATTAAGTTAAAGGAAGAATTTACAAGATAATGTCGTTGAAAATAATGGAAAAGCTTCGCGATAAGAACTTTAGGTGAATTCCATGGAGAAGGAAGTTATGAGTAGAATTAAGTGATAAATCTGAGGAGAATTCCGTAAGGAATGTAAGGAGAAGCTCAGGAGAATTACAAAGGAGAATGTGAGGTGAATTTCTGAGGAGAATTCAAAGTAAATTCTAAGGCTAATTTCAAATAGGTTTTAGCAACAGCTCCACAGGAATTCAGACCACAATTCCACGAATATTATGAAAAAGACAAATTTCCAAAGAAATTCTGACTTAAGTTCCAAGAGCATTATGGTAAGAATTTCGATAAAATCTTCATCTGGTATGTAGTTTCAAAAAGTTGCAAATAATGTTTATGGAAAAATTAATCTACGAAACCACGAAATCTTTCCAAGAGAATTATGAGCAAAATTCCAAAATAATTTCGGAAGAATACTTAGGGAATACTTTGTAGAGTTAAGATACCCAAGTAACCAAAAGCTCCGCTTTCAACGATAAAACTCTCTTCCAAGTTCCATAATGTTCAAATAATGTTTCGACAGAACCTTCAAGTTGTCCTGAGGCATAACATCTCTGATCACGCCTTCCTTCGGATGGGAAGTAAAGCCGTTGGTCCCCGGTTCATGAGTTGATGTGTCGATAGGTAGGGTCCAGGTGTGGGAGCTGCCTTCCGTGCACCTTCCTAGCATTGGTGCTCAGCACGGAAAACAAGATCGACGGAAAAAACAAACAAAGGAGAAAAAAAAAGAACCCTCAAGTTCCATAAAGTTCGGATAAAGTTCCAAAAAGAAAGAAATTTTTTCCCAAGCAACCAAAAGTTCTGCATTCATCAATAAAACCCTCTTTCAAGTTCCATAAAGTGCATATAAAGCTCCAACACAACTTTCTGGCTACTTTAGAAGCTATAGAAAGCACACGAGGAACTTCAGGCTCCAAAAAGTTCCGATGCGTACTCCTAGCAACTTGAAGTTCAAAAAAAGTTCCAAAAAGGAATTCCAGGCAAGGCTGGAAACATGGCCGCAACAAAGCTCCGAACAAACCCCAGCGGAACTTCTTAGCAACTTTAAAGTATCTTATAAGTTACCTACGGAACTTCTTAGCAACTTGAAAGTTTCTAAAAAGGTCTGCCATACACACTTATAAAAATTCATGTAAATTTAGGCGCTCTGAGAGTGACATATACGAGCGTCAGGTTTGACATAAATTTGAGTCATAACAAACGCGAAATATAGCTTAATAAAACGTACTTTTCGTCGAGCAACGAACTTTTTAGTCTCGGAGCACTTAATATTACATGACATTTACGTCTCATATGTTATGTCTGAAATGGACAAACACTAATTTAAAATTCATCAAGGTGTTGTATTTCGTATTCAAGTCAGCCAGCTGGCACTGACAATTCCAACAATAGACAGGACAACAACTCGGTTTAATATATCTCAGATGACGCAGCGGTTCGTGCTGGGGCTCTCACGCAGAAGGAATGGGTTTTATTTCTACAAACATCTCCAATACTACTATTACCCAACAAAAATTGCAAGCTGAATGAGAGCTTATTTAAGCAAACATGTGCTTTTTCAGCTAAAAAATGGCTTATGTAGCTCTTAATCAGCTCAAATTGTTTTCTGGGTAATGCTGATAAATCAATACACGTTCATACCTGCCTTTAGAAACAACTTTCATTGAAGGCCTGACTTACGAATTCACTTTCATAAAGGTGCGAACCAAATATAAAATTTGTGTAGAGGACAAAAACCTTTTTTAACTTATTTTCCAAAAGTTCCGTTCAAGTTCCGCCAGAAGCTGCTTAGAATGCTCTTCAATTATGGTACCGGAACTTTCAAGTTCTTATAACGACTTAAAAATGAGGCTGCTTAGAATTCTATATACCACCTTCAACCAAGCTGCTTAAGCCACAAAAAGCCTTTTATTAGAACAATTGGTTACTTGGGAATCTTCAAGAGCATTATGAGTAGCATAACAATGTTATTCTACATGGAGGGGTTGGGAGGATTTGTGATTCAGAGGAGATGCATTGAAGTTTTTGAAAGAACCGAGTATTTTAAAGAGCGAGATGCCATGTTCATCCAGCGATGAAGATTGAGAGGAGAACGATCAACTGTAATAAAAATTGAAACCAAGCAGGAATCAAAAGAGTTCAAATAAATGTGTTACCACATGCTGTATTGCCATTTAATATTGATAGCTAGTGCAAATGTTAACCATAATGATTTCTTTTGTCATAATTAACAGTAAGCAACACGTTTTTTGTCTTAATGTATGTACATACTTGGAAAAATCTTCATGAAAACAGCAAAACGTAACAAAACATTGAGGTATTTTTTTTTAATTTATTAAGCATCCCCTTGGATCCCCCAATGAATAGTATATGAAACAGTAGGGTATAAGTTGCTGAATGAAATTACGTTGTCATTAGCTGCTAATACCTGCTAACCTGCAAGGTACACCTCTTTAAAGATAGTGTAAAAAAAATGTAAAAACTGGCGGAAATCCTTTCAACAAAGAGATAGCGATTGGCTGTCTTGTGCAAAAATGTGCATTTTCTAAGCACTTACAACTTTGTAGAATATTTTAAAAACGAGAAAATTCAAAGAAAAAAGTTATGGTGAAAAAACGTTTTTTAAGGGGGTACTACCGTTTGTAGTCCATTTTCATCCTATAACTTCGTCCACTTGAGAGATAGAAAGTTTACACCTTGGACAAAGTTTCATAAAAAGACTTCATCTTCAATGCTTCCATAGGTGTTCATCAAATTTAACAAGACATAAAAATGTTATATTTTTTTATCTGAGTGTATACCCTCCTTAACCAAACTTTTTTTACTACTTAAATAAAGTACTTAAAAAATAAAGAAACATTCTAGAAGACAACAAAAAGCTATACTCAATAGTTTCGTCGCAAATAGCCATGTCCCACTTTTTTTTTAATTCGTCCCACGTATGATCGCCATGTCGTATGACATTTTAGTTTGGCACTGTATTTTGATAGCTTGTGTTGCGATAGTCAAAAGGAAAAGTAACGTCAAAATCCATTATGCAGTACCTCAAATCACCAACCCAATTATTCTATTTATTTCAGTATACATTAGACTGATGCAAAATTTGACTTTTTCGCTCCACAGTGCTTAAATGGTTTCAAATCGGGTCGTGATTAGCCTCCAAAAGTTTCATCTCATTTGGTTAGAAACAGACTTCGCACAAACCATTTGAAGTTTACTTGTAAATTACTATGGGAAATCTCAACTTTTTGTTCATTGTCTTCTAGTCTTTTTCTATATTGAGCTGCAAAACAGCTCGATAGCTATTCTTATAGAAAATTTTCTCAGCTACAACTTTGCAGAAGATCGTTTCTATGTTAAACGAGACAGGAAATAGTTATTAATTATTTAAGCGATTGGTAAACTTATGACATGATCAAGCAGCTGCTCTGTAGGCAACACTGTATTTTACAGTGTGACATAGTAGCCATAATTTTTGTTTCCTATTCAACGCCCCAGAAACACCAATGTTGCCTGCTGAGCAGTTGATTGAGCATGATCATAAGACATCAGTGCATTGAACCATTAATAACTTTCGATCCTTGTATTTAATCAAAAAGTGGTCTTGAGCAAAGTTGTAACTGGGAAAATTTCCTACAAGTTAAGTTGAAAGCTTTTGAAGCAGACCGATATGGTGAATTATTAGATAGACATGAACAAAAATTTTGGTTTTACCATAGTAATTCCCATACAAACTTCAAATGGTTTGTGCCATCTCAGTTTCTCACCAAATGGGTTCAAATTTTGAGAGGTTAGTCAGGATCCGATTTGGAATCGTTTAAGTATTGTGGAGCGAAAATTTAAAATTTTGCATCACTCTAGTATACATGGGTTCAACAACATTTCCTGTTGGTAGGACAAGTTAGCATCAGTCTTTAAAGCAAAATAAATCGCATCAACCTTCCAAACAATATTCAAAACGATACAGTTTGCATCACCTAGATTTGATACCACTCATTTATAACGGCCAAATTGTATCCCATCTTTTCTACGATCAAATAAAAAAAATTGCCGGACAGCTCAACTCAAACACGGCATACGTAAATTTGCATAATCTCATGATTTTGCGACGCTCCAAAATCCTGACCATATTTCAAAATCAATTAGTAGTTATAAAAAACTCCTCTTCTCAATGACCAATTTAGCACTCTTTTTTTTCTTCTCTCCCCCTCGCAGATGATCGCCATCGAGAATTGGACGATCTGCTGTCCGACATGTTGATGACGGTTCAAGGCATCCCCGACGTCGGTCGCAGCAAAACAACATCAACAACGCCATCCGCACAAACCACCCACCATCATCATCATCATCATCACCTTCACCATCAGCAACAGCAGCAACAGCAGCAGCAGCACCAGCAGCAACAACAGCAGCAGGCGAGCGATCATTTCGTAAACACAAACACCGACACGATCAAGCGATCGTACTCGGCCCAACTGCCGGTACTCAGAGAGACGGCCAAAGAGCGTGAGTTGCTGCTGTACGAAACGAGCAGCACGACGACCACCCTGACGCCGCCGCCCAGTGAGAGTGGTCGCGAAACGCCACAGCTGAGCAGCGCCTATTCCACCATTCGCGATAAGCGGGATCTCTGCCTCACGCCGACCGAGCGGGAGCTCATCATGAATCTGCAACATCAGTCTTTCGGCTATTCCCGTCAGGCGCGGTCTACTACCGGAGCTTCGGAACGGTTCACTTCGGACGACGACGACGATCAGTACAACGGTAACAACAAACAGCAGCAGATTCCTTATCACGCCCGGGAGGACTCACGACCCTTCACCTACGGCAACATACCGCTAACGGGTACGCCCCAAAATCCGCCCGCTTCAACTATGCTCAAGATGCAATCGGGCCTGTCGAGTCCGTCGATGGTGCGCAAAGCGCTCGGGACGCCAACGTCCGCTCGGAAATCCACCGGTGGTGGCTCGTCGGGTGCTTCATACGGTGGCTTCGGTCGGAATTCGGAATTCGAAGAAATGTTACGCGAACGACGCGAGAAAGTGTTTAGTGAAAAGTACACCATTGGAGATCAGTCTCCCAGGGGTACCGATACGGTTGATAACCGGTGGAACTATAGTGCTACGATCAGGACCGCGGAGCAACAGCAGGGCGATACCAACGGATATCCCCATCCACCCGAGCCGCTGAAACGGTCCAACACCATGGACGGTAGCTTTGGGCGGCAATTCTCCCACGATGGGTAAGTACCTAGGGTAGGACCGGGGGTTCTTGAAAATTCTATACTTGACCTCGAGATACTGAACAGCCAGCGGGGTGCGAGATTGCGAGGTCGTCGTCGTGAGAGTGCTGAAAAATAACATGTGTCTTTTTTTTCTCGTAACGTCTTCTCGTGATGATGGAGCGCGCGCGACGGCGTTGAAAACACGAAAAATTATATTTGCAAGTGCACGAAAAGAGTAGTAAAGCAAATCAATGTGAAGTGCCGAAATGTACTAGAAAGAAGTGAAAATCGAACAGGAAAAAAGAAGACGTGAAAAATGACCTTCCCACAGGAATAATATTTAATTAAAAAAAAGAAAACATCTAAAGACGTCATGCGCGGCACAAGTGTTTCGGGACTGCTCTGTTATCAGGCTGGTGGATTATTTGGACCTATAGACGATGTGCGGCACATAGACAGGAAACTAATTCTTTTCGATAATCACAGTGTGAGCAGCAAATTCCAACGACCAGCTGCTAAGTGAACGTAACTCTCGCTGGGAATGGGTTTGGGGAGGGTGTAACCGTTTTAGCAGTGCAAATATTGATTGAAGAATTATCTCACATCACAGCAGTATTTGTATGAAAAGTTACGCGTAATTCTATACTAAACATTGAACGAAACGTTTTGAAGTCGATTTATTAACAAAAGAAGGTGTCGATGAAGAGAATCCATCGTTGTACTTTGTGGGAACCTTTTGTTTTGTTCAGTTTGAATTCTAGTGATCAAATTTTAAGCACAAAATAAAAAGGTTGTAGTTTTTCAACCTTGGGAAATTTGGAAATTTGTACAATTAACTCAGAACGCACGGAAACTGTAGCCAAGCTAATACAACATAGAAGCAACGAAAAGCAAAGACAACACGACAGGATAAACGTATTTAGACAACCACTAATAAAACTTCATCCCTGAGGAAGGTCCAAAGCAGAACCAGAACGTCACAGCGAGTAAATTGAGCTTCGTTTAATAAGTAAATAAGACTCTAGAGCCAAAATATGAAATCAGAAGACATTGATTACATTTGGCACCTAGGCCCTATTCAAATGTAATGCTCGATTTGAACTTCTTCCCTGGACTACAATCATCATCAGGATTTGGCATCTGAAGAACTTTAATTTTGCTCGCATCATTGTCTTCTCTTCTGTCTTGTCTTCTGACCTTGTAGGGTAGAGAACTACTTCGGCCTAATCGCCCATTTTGGGCCTATCGAGCAGAAAACACCATATAAACCTACGATTTCGGCGTAAACAAGTCAATTGTGCGTTTGAAATGATACTTTAATCCAAAAGCTACCGAACGAAGTCAACAAGAACGTGGGATATGAATGTTTGCACCCATTATTCTAAAAAACAAAAGTAGCGCTCCGACCGAATCATTTTTTATCTTCTTCCGACAGGCCGAAGTGAATTCAATGGCGCTTCAATGGCGTTTCAATGCATTAGGCCGAGTTTGGGATCTAGAAGTAGTGTTAGATATTTAACAATTTCTCAACAATTTATTACTCTTTATCAAATCTTGCGGTACGTATGGAAAGGTAAATAAATTTAGAAGGCATTTGCTGTAAAAACATTCTCTTTTGTGAAAAATTCAGCTTGAAAAATAGAGGCAAAGAGCGGGTTGTGCTCAGTTGGTTCAAAATTAGATCTAAGCCCTACTTGTAGTCATTTCAAGTTGGACTTTTGAGGTTTTTTGAGCTAGCTCTTTCGAATATCTGTTCTGTGATAATGTGGAGATACTATTGATAATACCCGTTTACCTCTAGAATGACTCTAATGTTGTCCCATGGATGGATCTAACGATAAAATTCCTTTGTTTTTAAATTTTCACTAGATTTCTTTTTGGATAATTTGCAAGGAGGATCTGGGAAGTTCTCCGGGTTACTCGATCAAATTTACATGTGGTTCGTTGTGGTTGCGTCATCGACCCTAGTGACAAATTAATACACGGACGATGAGATCGACTTAAAAATGAGCTGGATTCGACCCAATTTTGCAAAAAGTGGATAGTGAGTAAAGAATTTCTCAATTTCCTCAAAGAAAAACTTCTCGAATATGAAGAAAATCAAGAAAAGATTCGCTAATGGCGGTAAGCTCCAACTCGGATTAACTTTTAATACCGTCCCTGTTTGTATGATCTGAAAAATGTTTGCTCAGAATTATGTTGATTAACTCTGATGTCGACATCAAACCAGCCGGACATTCTTGATCGGGATTTAATCCGAGGATAATACCGGTTGGAGCTTACCACCATAAGTCTATTAGTATGCCTACCAGTGTTGCCAGATATACCGATTTATCGGTATTTATACCGATTTCCGAACTAGATACCGATATTCAGATAAGGATCCTCAGAATACCGATTTTTGAGATTTTATACCGATTTATACCGATTTTTTTTTTAAATAATCAAAATTATTATTGCCTGCCCGTGCTCGAATTTTGGAGAAAATTTTTGTGAGAGACTTGTATCTTTTTGAATACCTCATATTTTTTGAGCCTTCAAAATTCTAAACAATCCTCTCTAAAGTTGCCTTATGCTTGATACTCTTTCGACTAATGTTTGCGTTTCCTCACCGTTTTTGGCTACCCATCAATCGAGAAATAGTCGATGGCTCTTGCCGGTAGTTCCTAGGGAATCAAGAAATATTTTTTTAAATATTATTTAACTTCCGTAAGTTTGTAATCATTTTTAAATTTCCTGAATTTTTCGAATTTCCAACTTTCCCTGGAATTTTCATCCATTTTCTTCAAGGTAAGGACCTTGGAAGCTTCTTCAGCCTTCGCTCGAATGATTCTTCCATCTTCTCCCGCCAGTTTTTTCAACTTTCCCGGAACTCCAAGGATGCTATCAGATTTTTATTGCGGATTCACACTAGCTGCAGAATTCTGAAACTTCAGAAAAGTCCAAACTTTTGTGTAAATTGTAAATTGTGATAAATTAAAGACAGTTTCAATAACTTCTGGTAAAATTCGAAAATCCGGAAATTCCAGAAAAGTCCAGCGAACTCCAGTGAACTTAAGGAAACATCCTAAATATTTTGGAAACTTCATAAGTCCAAAAAACTTCAGAAAAATTTAATGGTTTTCAGGAACTTTAGTGGAGCTCAGAGAACATCAGGACAGATCAATTAATTTCAATGAAATTGCTGAAATTATAAAAGAGTTTCGAGAAACACAGGCAGTTTCTGAAAACTTCAGCAATGTCCTGAGAGGCTCATGCAAATTTAGGAAACGTAAGCGAAGTTACATGAAAATTAGAACATTGTGAGAACATTTTATGAGAAGTTCTATGCCTTTTACTGGCAGTGTCGATAGCTTTTATAAATTAAAAAAATCTGGAAGATCAGAGAACTTCAATGCTGATGTTACAATAAATTCAAGAAAATTGTGAGAGCACTTAAAAATTTCGTAATCTTCAAGAAAGTCCAGAATACCTTAAAAGATGATTAGAGATATTCCGGTAGTCTTATTATAATCAGGGAAGTTCCGAGAGCTTCGAGGATGACCAGAGAACTCCAAAAAATTACAAGAACTTTTAAGGAATTTTGAGGAATTATGGAATATTCCTAAGTGCCTTTCAGGAATGTTCGGAAAATTTCAGGGAAATTGCGGAGTCTTCAGGGATGTTTTGATGAATATCAGGAAAATTTTCTGGATCATTAGAACATCCCCCAGGAATCTCTTTCTTCCGAGATTGTATCCTTGTTTTTTTCGACTGTTCCGTAAGCGCTCTGGCTTCCGACTTTTTTCAGATGTTTCTTTCAATGTACCTAAGGACGTTTCTGCCAGCGTCTCCAGGAAGTTTCTTTCGTCTTCTGCAGGAAGTTCAATTAATTCTCCCAGAAATTTCTTTCGTCTTCTTCTGGAAGTTTGACCATAAGCCAAAGTTTTTTTTTTCGACTTTTATTGGAAGGTTTTTTCGAGCTTCTTCTAGCTTTCCCTGGAAATGGCTACTTCTGGAAATTTACTTCCGCTTTCTGAAACTTTTCTGGCCTTCTTTGGATGTGACATCCGATAGTTTATTTACATTTTCGCCACAAATTTCTCAATACGTGTCTTGGAAGTTTCCCGGATGTTTTCCAGCTTTTCTCGAACTTCTTTCGTATTTCTCTGGATGTTTTTTTCAGCTCTATTCAGAAGCTAATTCAAACTTTCGCGGAGTTTTCTTCCGGAATTTTCCGATCATAGTTCAAAAGCTAAAATTTTGCTTTGAATAACGGCTTGCTCAGTCTTAAAACACTGCAACGACTACGATGTAATCTGCCCGACATTTCGGCCATGGATTGTGGCCTTTTTTAAGTAAAAATATTGTTTGTCGTTATTGTCAATAGTTTAGTCGTCAATGTGGCTAATTTTCCATATTTTGGTTTCATGGAATGATATTTAATTGAAAAAAAACACTACTTGGTCACAATTTTGAACTCCACTTGAAGACAACGGGGCCTACCTTAGCTCAGTCGGTAAAGGCGCAGCTACAAAGCAAGACCATGCTGGAGGTGGCTGGGTTCAATTCCCGGTTCAGTCTAGGAATTTTTCGGGATGGAAAATTTCTCGACTTCCCTGGGCATAGAAGTATGATTGGACTTGCCACACAATTATACCAATGCAAAAATGGTACAGACATCGAAAGCTCTCAATTAATAACTGTGGAAGTGCATCTAGAACACTAAGTTGAGAGCACGCAATAAGCTAATATGCGATATGCAATAGGCTTGAAATGCGAAGAAGAAGAAGAAGAAGAAGAAGACAACGATAATTTTTAAAATTAAAGAGTGTTTTAAGACTGAGAAAGCCGTCAAGCAAAGCAATTTCGCTCAAATCCCAGTCGTCACCATCGATAAAATTTTTTGCTTTGTTTTGTTATGTTTTAAAACAATCTGGCAACGCTGATACCTACTCCTCGACAGAGTAAAATTTTCAACTATATTTGTGAGTAAATCCAACTCAATTTTGAGTTGGTCTTATCGCCCGTGTAGAGCA